TGGATAAAAATCTCCAAAGCCGTCTCTTCCATAAAAGCAATGAGAACACTGGCAAAAGTGGTCAAAATCAACTTTTTAAAAACTCTGGAAATTAACCAAAGACTTGCAACAATTTGGGGAGTCTTTATTCAAGATTTTACTGAATCTCAGTGAGAAAAGTGAGTTTTGTGGCATTTTAACATGGCCTAGTCCCAGGCCCCTTTCTCTTTGCTCTGTGGTAGCCTAGAAAACTAACAGTCCATTATCAAAGTGAAAACCATCAGCCTAGAATCTTTTAGAGGGAATTAAATGGAGCTGGAATTTTTCCCAAGTGCATTTCCTGGGGTTTCCTGGAAAATCCCACTGGCAAGGCTTGTTTTTATTTGACCTGACTCAGACTTCTCATGGTGCGAACCATCTTTTCCTTGACAATGTTGTTGAAAATAATCAGTGGCAATTGTTTATCATCACCACTACCTGAGGCAATAATACTTGGGGCAAACAAAAAACTGACCAAAATAATTAAAAGGAAAAGCTGAGGAATGAGATGTCCATAGAGAACTTTGAAAAGCGCCAATGTATTTCTGGGAACCTACAAAGCCACATGCATGTGTAGGGCTGTGTGTAATCGCAGGGCTCTGTACATGCTATGAGGGATCAGAATTGGCCACCACAAAATGTGTCTCTTTTCCTTGATTATTTTTAAGAAAAAAAGACTTTGAAAGAAACTTTGACCTTCCCTCTAACTGCCTAAAAGATTTTAAGATAAAAGGCTGTCCCCAGGATGGTCCATCACCATAGATAACTGGGTATTGGTAGACTGTGAGGGTCCTTGTTAAGCCCTTTCTTATCAAAGTTCTGTCTACCAAACATTTGCTTTTCCATTTCCATGTGAATTGCCTTCCTCCCCTTTGAAGACCCAAACAACTTCCCCCAACATCCTCCTTTGTCTATAGCTGAAGATGATATTTAAGATGGTGGCTTTGGCCATTCTGCAAGTTACTCAGTTTTCCTGGGTTTCCCCTAGATGTACACGTTATTAAACTTAGCTTGATTTTTCTCCTGTTATTCTGTCTCATGTCAATTTAATTCTTAGACCAGCCAGAAGGAACTAGATGGTAGAGGAATTGTTTTCCTCACTTACAGTTTGGCAAAAAGGACGAGATAAAACTTCACTGGCTGGACACTGCTCACTCCTGGACTACTGCAGCTGAGAGATCCTGGATCCCTGACAAGAGCCAGCAAGAAGTAAGAGTTCTTATCACATCAGTCTCCTGGATCTCTGCCTGCAGTGCCCAATGGAAGGAAGAGTGGTGACTTTTGTTTCCTTTTCTAAATTTAGATTAGTAGGAGAAAATATTGGTGAAGCTAGCTTCTTGGAGTCAGCATCTCTGGGAAATTTGGTTTGAGTACTCATTGGTTTATGGACACTTTTCCTCCCAGAGATGGTCACTGTTTTCCCTTGTTCTGTCTTCTACGTCATTTGTCACAAAAAGGAAAAATCATAGGGCAAGATGCAGGCATCTATAAGCCTGTTGTCTGGGAATATGTGCATGAGGTGAAACCTGTTGCTAAGGGCATCTTGGGAGCCAAAAAGGATACATATTTGGTGGGCTTGGGTGGAGCAATTAAGAGTCATTAGGGTGCTCACCACCTCAAGAAGACTCCCATGATAGGATAAGTTGGTTACAGAACGAGGTAGATGACACAGGTCCCCCCCCCATCTTCAAGAAAATGTCTGTGCAACAATGAGGTACTCTGTAAAGCACACACAACCCCAACCTCATGGTACCTCCCTCCTAGGTATTTGGCTCTGAGAGACCCAAGGCTTAACTAAAGCTGTTAATGTGCGTATAAGATGAGGTTTTTTTCTCTTGTCTTGTTCTGTCTTGAGAGCTTGGCTCTGTGACCTCTCCAGTCTCTGCCACCTAGAGGACGCATGTACTGGCACGCATCCTGGTAGTCAGTGGAATAGACTGGGGTTCCAAGATGCTCTCTCTTTGTCCAGCTGTGTCAGCTCTCAGGGGAGTTTGTCATAAGGGGTCCCAATTGCTTTCACTAGGGCCTCTGTCATTTCAACTTTTGTTGCTTGTTCACTCTGCCAGGGCAACAAAGGCCTTTGCTTTCTTAGACTATTTTTGGGAGTGAGTTTTCCGGATCTTGTGAGAGCTGCTTCTTTTGCACTCTCTTTTGGGGATGCCCCTTGCGTCCATGGTTGAAGTCTTATTGGTTTGAGTCACTATTAAGATCCTACTCGTCAACTGCTAGATGACGGATCATTTAAATTCGAAAAACTTCTAAACAGGGGGAAAAAGTTTTTTTTGAGAGCTCTCATCGTAATTGTTTTATTGGTACCTATGAAAAGGCCAAATTAAAAAAGAAATGCAAAAAAAAAATGACTAGCCTGAAGACCCTGACTCAGGCTACAATTAAATTGAGATAAAAATGTAAAAGTATAAGTGTTTACAAGATTATAAAGATTGGAATGTTTGATCTAATTTTATATAAAGAGATTATATCAACTCTGGCCTGAATGTGTTTTGAAAATGGACATTCTCTCTGGTTGGGAATGCTTTCCCTCTCCAAAATTATAAGACCAAGACCTATTAATAAAGTCCTAATGAAAGCTAAGATTAGAGGTATAAAAGTTGATGGAATTAAGATGAAATTTATAGGAGAATTGATATATTTACAGGCTTCTTATGAAGTGATTGCATCTCTTTTACATGATCATATTATAAATTATATCGTGGGAATAGACGTTGTGTCTCACTGGGGAATGTTTCCCCTGCCTGATTGTAAGACAGCATATAAATCTGCCCTTCACACAGTGTTAATTAAACATACTAAAGAGAAGTCAACAGGATTGCCTGAGTCCACACTATATGAGATAAAAACTAGAGGTTAATATCAGGTGCTAATAAAAGACCCCTCCCCAAGGTAAATTGGTCTAGGGTTAAATTGCACACTTACAAAGAGGGTCTTTGTTAAACACTTTGTGTAGACTTTTAAGGGTGTGATACATTGTCCAAAAGTTTTAAAACAATAGCTGTGAAGTCTTTGTCTGCGTGTGTCTATATGTATGTTATATACATGTGATATTTTACCTCTGGATGGTATGGCCAAAATTAAGAGCTTTATTTAATTGGCTTAAAGTAAATGCTTACACAAATTATTTCTAAGTGTAAAAGAAACTAATCCAAATGTTTTTCAAGTCAATGTGATATGAAATAATATTTGGTGAATAAAAGCTTGTTTAATTTTGTTGGTTTGATTAAAATAAGCATGTCCTCAGAGTTAACAACACTGATACGATGAAAACATGAAACCTGGGTTTACTAGTCAAATAAGCTCATGTTATCCCTGTTACAAATTTGTCATCAAAAATAATAGCTTTAAATAATAGTTGATTTTGTCTAATGTCTCCTGAAGTTTTCCTGGGTAATCTAAACATAACTATTGGGAGCAAATGATTTAGATGTAAGTGAGATAAGAGTTTATAGATAAACTTTCAGCAATAATTACAGTTTATCACATGTGTACTTAAAATAACTTCCAAAATCTCTTTGGTAACTTGAAACTTGGAAGTTTTACTAGGTTAATTTAAATAATAGAAAATTCATTAAAGATCTATATCATTTCTAAATTAGATAAAATATTAGATATTAATTATTAAATATAGGTTTACCTACTTTTGGCTTCTCATTACAGAGAAACTAAAAATTGTTTGGGTCTATTGGTAAACATGTCTTGTTTTATTAAAAGATTGTACTATAAAGTAACATGTTTCTAGAAATTATAAAAAGTATTTATAAATCTGCCAAAGCAGAGAATGCTAATGTAAATGACAGTTCACAATTGCTTGCTTACTTAGTTTTCACTAAAAACTAAGGTTTCCAAGAGTTTAAAATTCTACTGTGATTAAAGCTACTAAAAATTAATAAGGGAAACATCTTTGTATTGAAACTAAAATGTATGTTTTCAGTAAAGAAGGTATAAATAATGGAAATATTTTGTTTTACTAGGAAAGGTAAATTTATCCTAAAGTACTAGAAAGGAAAAAAGAAGGATTGGGACAAATTCTAAATGTAAAAAGAAAGTTATAGAAAGTTTATGAAAGGGGAATTCTGAAAAAAGTTTTGTACATTGTCAAGTTGGCTAAGATTAAAATAAATTTAATTAAGTAAGTTTTAATATCAAAAGTAAGCTGGCACAACTTTAGAATTTGGCTTTTTCCCCTCTTAAAAGGATAATTTTCTTGAACTTTTAGTCTACTCTTGATAATGAGATTATGAAAGGTTTTTTCTTTAAGTATTTTACCAGAAGGGTAGGGATTTTATGGTTTTATCAAAATAAGTTTCCCATGTTGTTTTTATCAGGTCGTTAATCACAGGTGCTAAGGTTTTTCTCACAGCTATTTAATTCTCTGCATTCAAGGAAAATCTTTAATTGCCACTATGGTTAAATGGATAACTAAACATTGTTTCATAGGGACCTATGATATTATATGGGTAAATCTTATTCATATAAGTGTTTTAAAAATTACATTTTATATAACATTTTTAAAATTCTGATGTGTCCTGGTTGTCAGTCATAATTCTAGTTATTATTTTGGAATGTTGTATGTCACATAAATAATCAAATTACTTTGTCAATTACCATTTTTAAGTCTTTTGTCATTTACAGAAGTTTTGTTTTACTCTGCTTTTACAAGTGTTTTCATCTTTAGACAGATTCATGGAAAGGACCCTGACACTCTAGAAGACAGGTTTCCAATAAACTTTCAGATCATCAAACTGAATTAGGAAAAAAAATTACAGAACTCTGACAGAGAAACTGATGACTTCATGAAATTGCTAACAAAAGATCAAGATCAAGAGTTGATTACAGGGACTGAATGAACTGATGAGGATGATTATAATTTTTATGACTCCCTGTTTGAAATATTGCTGATATTTAATGTTTTGTTTTTCCAGAGTCAGTAAACCTTTTTCTCTTTTCTCTTAAGCTAACTATGACTGATAACAATTTGGTAAATTATACCTTTGTAAGCAGAATTGAAACGTTTGTCTTTTTCTCTCTACCTGATCTCTCCAGAATTTAGAAACTCTTAGTGAGTTTTGGAGCCATATTTTCATGGCAATATAGTTGTTTGCATAAGTTCAATAAGAATCTGATGTCCTGATAACAGGACATAATTGGAAACATTGGTTATACTATCAAGGCTTTGACTGAAATATCATATTCAAGAGAAACATACATAAACTCAGATATGACTGAGCTTTAACAACCAAAGATTGGACTTTATGGAATAAAGACACTTGGAAATAGTGAACTGGTACCTTGTTTACAGGGTTCCCTGCAACCATACCAGGTAAGTAAAGAAGACCATTTCTCTGGCAGGTGCAAGGAACCTCAAAATATTTTGGGGAACCTTAAGAGAAGAGAGGAATTCACCCAAATCTACAGGTATTACAGGCCTTGTCTGATGACAAGTCCTTGGCTGGGCCTGGACCCCTTTAAAGTTCAATCTGAGATTCTTTATAAAAAATTCCAGCAAAGCAGGTTTAAAGGAACCTATATGATCAATTGCTATTCTTTTTATGTAAGTAATTTGGCCAAGTGTATTGAAACTAGACTTTTTATTTTTGAGTAAGGTTGACCCTGAGCTAACCTCTGTTGCCAATCTTCCTCTTTTTCTTTTTTCTCCCCAAAGCCCCAGTACATAGTTGTATATCCTAGTTCTGGGTCCTTCTGGTTCCTCTATGTGGGATGCCGCCTCAACATGGCTTGATCAGTGGTTAGTAGTTCCACACTTAGGATCCAAACCACCGAACCCTGGGCTGCTGAAGTGGAACGAGTGAACTTAACTGCTATGCCACCGGGCCGGCCCCTAGACTTATTTTACAAACCAATTAGTCTTAATTTGGCTATCTTTGGTAAAAATGAGGGTGATTTTAGAGAGAAAAATTATGTTTCAGTAAAAAATATAATACACATTTGTGGATATTGGATTCTATTTCTGTTCATTGTCTTTGAGGTTTTCTAGCTGTAAACTGAACTGGATCCTGAATTCTTCTAGTCTCTTGAAATATCTGGCTAAAAATCTCCAAACTAACATTTTCAATTCTTTCCATCATTTTCATTTGGAATCACTGAGAACTGAGACCACCTATTTTCCTGAAGCTCTGTAAACCAGAGGTGAATAATTTGATATAAACTCTGTAAAAATTACCAAGATAACATTCCTATTGCTACATAAGCCACTCAAAAAGATACCTAAACACCCGATGACATCATCTGACATTTCAAACTGCAAAAGATGCTTCAACCCTGACATTTAGAAATCTTCTTGAATGGCTGCCCCCTGGACTCAAAAACTGGTTTATAATTTGCTCCAACCATTAACCTTGTTTTTCTTTTTGTTTCCATAGAAATGCTTCTTATTAAATACCTGATTACTTGCTTAAACAATATAGGTCTAACATTGGGAGCCCACTTGCATCACCGCCTCCTGAAATAAATTTAACTGGACTAATCTATTATCAGGACTAAGAGACATGTTCAGTGAGATGAAACAATCTACCAACTCAGCTTCTAAACTATGAAACTTCAAAGTTGGCCACCCTAGAATGTGTCTCTTTGCCTTGATTATTTTTATGAACAAAAGACTCTGAAGGAAACTTGGACCTTCCCCCTTAACTGACTAAAAGAATTTAAGATAAAAAGCCATTCCCAGGACAGGCCATCACCATAGATAACTCTGGGTATTGGTGGACTGTGAGGGTCGTTGCTAAGCCCACTCTTATCAAAGCTCTGTCTACCAAACATTTTCTTTTCCATATCCATGTGAATTGCCTTCCTCCCCTTTTGGAGACCCAAACCACTTCCCCCAACAACCTCCTTTGCCTTTAGCTGAAGATGATATTTAAGGTGGCACGTTTGGCAATTCTGCAAGCTACTCAAGTTTCCTGGGTTTCTCCCATGTATACATGTTATTAAATTTTGTTTGATTTTTCTCCTGTTATTCTGTCTCATGTCAATTTAATTCTTAGACCAGTCAGATGGACCTAGAGGGTAGAGGTATTGTCTTCCACCCCTACAATGCCTGGGAAAGACCTGAGAATGCCCTAAGGTCTCACTGCTAGCTGACCTTCAGGCCCTGTCCAAGGAGTAAGTGAAGGCCAAAATGGAATAATAATCTGTCTGAGTGTTGAAGGTACGCCCTAACATGCACATAAAGGCTCTTGGCAATGACTAGAAGACTTATTGGTCCAATATTTTAAAAAATACTTGCAAATCCTTTATCTGATAAGGCTCTAGTATCCAGAATATATTAAAACTCTTACAACTTAACAATAAAAAGACAAACAATCCAATTTAAAAATGAGTAAAGGATTTGCTTTCTTTTCCAAAGAAGATACAGAAAAGGCCAATAAGCTCTTTAAAAAGTGCTCAACATCCTTAATCATTAGGGAAATGCAAATCAAAACCATGACTTAATACCACTTCACACCTACTAAGATGCCTATAATCAAAAAGACAGACAATAAAAAGTATTGTTTTTTGTTTGTTTGTTTGTTTTGGTGAGGAAGATTAGCCCTGAGCTAACAGCTGTGTCCATCTCTCTCTATTTTACATGTGAGACAACTGCCGCACCATGGCTTGATAAGCAGTGTGTAGGTCCCTGCCCAGGATCTGAACCTGTGAATCCTGGGTTGCCAAAGAGGAGCACACAAACTTAACCGCTATGCCGCTGGGTTTGTTGAAGATGTGGAGATTGGAGCCCTTGTAGACTGCTTGTAGGAATATAAAATGTTGCAGCCACTTTGAAAAAGAATTTGGTAGTTCCTCAAAAAGTTAAACATCGAGTTACCATATGACCCAGTAATTCTACTCCTAAGTATATACCCAAGAGAATTTAAAACATACATTTGCTCAAAAACTTGTATGCAAATGTTCATAACAGCATTATTTATAACAGCCTAAGACTGGAAGCAACCTGTCTATCAACTGGTGAGTGGAATAAACAAAATGTACTGTATTCATACAATAAGAATATTATTTAGCCTTCAAAAGAGATGAAGTACAGATTCATGATACAGTACTCATAAATCTTGAAAACATTATGCTAAATAAAAGAAGCTCCATACAAAAGGACACATATTGTATGATTCCATACATATGAAATGTCCAGAATAGGCAAACGCATAGAGACCAAAAGTAGATTAATGATTGCCAAGGAGCTGGTGGCAGAGAAAGACCATAGAGAAATGACTGCTAGTGGGTACGAGCTTTCTTACAGGATGATAAAAATGTTCTTGAATTAGATAGTGGTGATGGTCGTGTTACTTTCTGAATATATTAATGATCACTGAATTGCATACTCTAAAAAGGTGAATTTTATGATTTTGAATTATATCTTAATAAAAAAACTGATAACATTTTTTCACTAAAGAAGAAAAGAGAGAGAAGAACTTCACCTTGATGTCAATCTTTATATATATCTAAAATAATCAGATAATGAGATATTGTAATATTAAACATAAGTTTAGAGGAAATATTACTTTTGGAACAATAGCAACTCCCCAAAAAACTCTTTAGCAGAATCTCAAAGTATGTTTGCATTCAGATAATTCAGTTTTACTACATTGATATAGATAGATTGGAATCTTAGGTAGAGCAAATATTTACATGGCTAAGCATTTAAAATGTCAACATTGATTTGCGTCAGAGTTTACTTTTAAAAATATCCTCAGTACGTAGAAGAGCTCTGTGCAATTTAGCTATGCTTTTGAAACCTCTATAAAATGGTATATTTTCTTGAAAGTTTTCATAGCAAATTAACTTCACTAGCAAACAAACAGCAACTATAATGATGAAAAATAGATATGATTTGGTTTTCTGAATCAGAAAAGTAATGAGTAGTTAACGGGAGGCCATAACTCAGGAGTCCTAAGGTTGAAACCTGAGTGAAAAATTAGCATTCTATAGTGGAACAAGTTGGGAATTTGAGATCATTCATTTCTGCTGAAGTTTTACTTTACAATTCATGCTACTTTGTTTAATCTCTCATTCATTCACTGATTCATTAATATATTTATTTGTTCTCCTTCTATTCAATTTACATATTTGGTATTCAATTAATCATAAGCATTTATTAAGTGGCTAATGGTGCAAAATACTACTTAAATACAATAAATACAATAATAGCAGAGATTACAACTCTTCTTTCATGTAATTATAAAACAAATATAAGGCAATATGTGAAAACATTTAGAGGTATCACAATTACATATCTCTACTAAAGAAAGTCAAATAAGGAAATATCACCAGAAGGAGGTCTTTTCGTAAGTAGTTGAAAAAGTTTTTGAGCAATGCTGAACATTGTTTAAAGTGCCTTACACATATTAAATCCTCACAGCAACCCTTAGGATAGGCACTATAATTATCACCATGTTATATACAGCTACCATGTGCTGAAGATAGGAGTTGAACCCAGGCAGCCTTTGTTATGATGTGTTTATTTGGGCTTTGATGGGGTTATTGATTTGGTATTAGGGAAAAAGGGAATTCCAAATTTGGAGAATAAAAAGAACAGAAAAGGAGGCTGGCCCCGTATTGTAGTGGTTAAGTTCACGCGCTCTGCTTCAGCAGCCCGGGGTTCGTAGGTTTGGATCCTGGGTGTGGACCAACGCACCACTTGTCAAGCCATGCTGTGGCAGTGTCCCATAGAAAGTAGAGGAAGATGGGCACGGATGTTAGCCCAGGGCCAATCTTCCTCAGCAAAAAAGAGGAGGATTGGCCGGCGGATGTTAGCTTAGGGCCAGTCTTCCTCGCAAAGAAAAAGAACAGAAAAGAAGAAATGAGAAGAGTATATGTCTGATTGGAACTGAGGCTAATGGGAATTAGCAACTAAGATGGTAAAATGAACAAAGTATGGGCAGTTGAGAGAGTACTGGGAATGATAGACTGGGAATTATGAATATAATCTGGACGTAGGGAGCCACTGAGAGTTTTTATGAGGGGGTGTGAATTGACACGAGTGAAGCCATGATGGCAGATCCATGACCCTCAGAAACCATCTGCACTAAAAAAATACAAAGCAGTTGCTTGTGACGGGAACCGGCCCTTCTCTCACAATACAAACTGCAGTTGTTTGTCTCAAGACTAGGAGCGTGGGGAGCAGGCACAGACTGGCCATCTGTGTCGGCTCCGGAATATTACCGGCAGTCACAGCGCAGGTACACACTAGATAACACCTAACATCTAAAGAAAAGAAATACCAGATGTTGCCATATGGGATCTCGGGGAAATCCTAAATAAACACCCTTGCTTAGCATTGCCTGGGCGGGAGCCTCACCTGCGGAGGGGACGCATCGCCCAGGATCCTTTCTCTCAACCAGCACTCCCGGCATGGCCGTGCTATTGGGACGCCCCCGGCCAAAAGGCGTGGATGTTGTGAGTACCCGGTTTGACGTTACTTTCATTTTCCCGTTCTTGTATTCTCGCATTTTACTGATTTTCTTTCACTGTAGCTGTTTCAGCCTAATTTTGTACACCTCTATTAATAAACAATCATTGCTTACTTATTAGATATTTGCTCTGAGTGGTCCTCTGGGCAGGAAAGACGCTATTCTTTGACTGATCCGACCCCTTTCCCCCGGTTAAAACAGGGTGAAATTATGAAAGCAATGTTTTATGAAGAGTGATCTCGCCTGCTATGGATTATTTGCTTGGGAGGATATAGGGACAGCTATTAGGGAGTGATTAATCGATCACGTAATAAGGGCAGAATTATGGAAGTCAAATCCCTAGAAATGAAAGTTGGGATAAATAGATTCAAATGATTTTGGCTCTTCTGGATTCCCTTTAACACCTAAACTATTAAAATCACCAGTTGAAAGAATCTCTTTCTGTGACCACACTCTCCACTCTCTCCAGATTGTATATGCAACCACTCTTTCTGAGGTCATACTTTGGTTTCACAAGATTTCCAGCCTAGTAGTCACTCCATTACCCACTCCCCAATCTATTGATTTCTTCTTTAATCACTTCATTTTTAAAAATCTATTTGAATTTGTAAGGTCCATCATTTCACTAACACCCTCACCAATACTCATCTCCTTTGCCGCTCTATATTTCATCACATATCTCTAATGGATAAAAAAAAAAATACATAATTATTTTTGTATAATTTCTTTGTGCCCCCATCCCAACCTCCCACTCCCAGAGTCTAGTACCGCTTCAGAGAGTCACACAAAAAGATAAATGTATGTCACTATGAATTCTTGTTCACTAACCTTAAAAGTGCTCTCAAATTTACCCAAAATTCCTATCCATTTGTGGAGTCAACAATCTCCTTCTTCTCAAAACGCTTTTAAAAACTAAAGTTTTTTTTATTATGTCTTCAAATATATGCAAAAGTGGAAAGAAACCGTGAGTATCTCTCATTTGCTTCAACAATTACCAAGGTGGCCAAAGTTGCTTCATCTATGTCAACACACTTCTCCTACTCCGTGTGTCATTTTAAAGGTAAACTTGGATACCTTATTGTTTTTATCCATTAATACCTCAGAGAGTATCTCTAAAAGATATGGATGTTTTTCAATATATCCACAACATCACTGTTAAAAAATAATGATAATTTCTTATCATCATCAAACATCTGTCTTAAAACTCCTTGATGTTGATGATGTTGATGATGACAATGATGATAATGGTGATGATTTTTACAGCTGATTTGGTTGGAATCAGGATACAAACAATATCCCCACATAGCATGTATAGGATATGTCTTTTGACTGTGGGTCCTTCCACCTTCCTCTTTGTTTTTTCCTTGCCATTTTGTTGTTGAAGAAATCAGGTAATTTGTTATGTAGAATCACCGACTTTTTAGAAATTACTGACTGCCTCATTTTGTTATCATTTAAAAGGTTTCTTTATCCCCTGTTTTTCCAGCAAACTTGCGGTTAGATACAGCGACCTACCAGATTCAGATCTAATGTTTCTGGTAAGAATACATCATGGCTAGTGCTGTGAGTTTCCTAGTGCCTCTCACTTCACATCAAGAGGCACTAATGCCTGGTGTCTCCCTATGTATGATGCTAAGATTTGGTGGTGGGATCAGATACTATCAGCCTGATCCACCCATTATAAAGTTTCCCATTATCTTTTCACATAATAATTTTAGCAGTCATGGATGACTATTGCTTAGATCCATTATTTCACTAGGGTTTGCAAAATGGTGATATTCTATTTTTATTACTTATTCTGCCATGAAGACAAAGCTAAGAGGAAAGAGAGAAAATGTGGTGGAATGGGATATGTACTAAATTTCTTGCATTCTTAATCTCTTTTTATTCTATATCGCCAGACAGGTGAGGATTGAGTTGGCAAATCCTCATCATTAGTTTGGGAGAAGCGGAGGGAGGAACATACACACATGTTAATAAATTTTGTCCCTGTCGTAATAAATATTATATTGGTGGACACAAAGAAAGGAATGGTAAATTCTACTTGGGAATTGGAAGTAGCTGGAAATAGCTGGAGAAAAGGATACAACTGTGCTTGTGTGCATGTGTGTATGTGTGTGTGTATGTGCAGGTGTACACATGGGTACATGGTGATAAGACTGGAGAAAGAGAGGAGGCAGAAAATAGAAGGCTTTATTAATTATAAAAGTACTTTGTAAATTTTTTCCCAACAGGCAGTGAAATGAAGGGTTTTAAGCACAAGAATAATATAAAAAGTTTGTGTTGTAAGAAGAACACATTTCTAGCATCATGAAAGATGGGCTGGAAGGAAAAAGATTGAAGGCAGACCAGTGTAGTCCTTATTACTGTAGCTGAAGTGGAAAAGGATGAAGCTATGAACTTGTAGTTGCAGTCGCAATAGTCCTTTTATATGCAGCTAGCTTAGCACCTGTTAGACTATACTACAGTTTCTAGTCTGTCTTCTGCATTGAGCTGCAATGCAAATCAAGCATAGGTGATGGGACCAATTTGCCCCTGGTGCAGCCAATAAAAGTAGATAATTTTAAAATGCCAATAAAACCTACTATAAATTAATCTGCTTTTTATTATCACCATGCACTGGCAATTCTAAACAATATTCCTATTAAAATACTCCTCCCCCACAAAAAATATTTTATTGGTCTAATTCACTAGTTTCTTTCCATTAGGTTTAACTAATCAGTTTCCATTTAATCTCTTAACAGCATTTTAAAGAAAACTTAATTTGCTTCTACCTTAGTGCCCTGCTGCTGCGATTGGAGCCTGAGGGCCAGAAAGCAAAGGAGACTGAGTGGGTATAAGAAGAATTTACTTATGAGAATATAATCTTGAATATGCGGATTGTTATTAACATAGTTTTCATTAATATATTCTTCAACATAAGAATGATATGTTCATAGAAAACTTTGTATTCAAAACATAATAGTATTTTTGTGAAAATTTTTCTGGAATATCTTCATCTACTACAGTCTTCTTACATATTTAAACTTATAGATTTGTCTCTTTCCTTGTAGAGTTCCCTTTTCAACAACCATACAAATCCAAATCCCCCTTCTTTCACGTCCCAACTCAAATGCCACTTCTACCATAAAGCTGTCTCTTTTCTGTAAATCTATGTAGCAATGTTTGTACTTTTATTATAGTCCACCCCACTGCCTAGGCTTTCTCACAGTCATTGTGTATACATCGTATGGTTGAAATTAAATCTACAAGCTCTTAGGCATTTTTATTATTGCTTATTCACTGCTGTACCTTCGATACATATGGTAATGAGCCTTGCCATGGTCGACACTCCAGAAAGAGGCATAGATTACTTTGAATTCATTTGTATAGAAAATGCACATGACTTTTAAGATTCTTTCAACCCTGCAGTTGTGTGATTCTTTTAACCTCTGCATGTTATGCTTCAAAGTGACTGTTTTTAGGACTATGGAACAGAGTGGGAGACTAGATTTGAGGAAAATAGATTTGATGTTTAAGTGCTTTATAGGAAACTCTTCCAAATTGTTTCCTTTGTTTTTTTGTGAGGGAGATCAGCCCTGAGCTAACATCCTATGCTGATCCTCTTTTTCACTGAGGAAGATTGGCCCTGAGCTAATGTCTATGCCCATCTTCCTCTACTTTATATGGGACACCACCACAGCATGGCATGACAAGCAGTGCCTCGGTGCGCTCCTGGGATCCAAACCCGCGAACCCCGGGCCGCCAAAGCGGAGCCTGAGCACTTAACCGCTTGCGCCACCAGGCTGGCCCCCAAATTGTTTCCTTTTTAATGAACATAACTATTCTTTGGCAAAATTTGCTTAATTAACCTAAACCATAAAACACTAATACACGAGGTCACAGGTTATGTTTATTGTATGCCAAACAAAAGGTGTTAATGCTGTGGAGGAGAAGAAATAATTTTAAGGCCTAGTCACTGCATCTCCAGCAGAAGAAGCCAAAATCACATTCAGCCAAATTGGAACAAACTGTGAAATATTTTTAAAATACTCATTTGAGTAATCTCCCTGTGATTGATTAACAATGTAGGACCAATGAGTGGGATTTGGCCTAAAACCTTGTAAAATAAGTTTAGCAAGGCTAGTTAGGCAAGAAAAGTTTCAATCAAGGACTGTTGAGGAGATTCTTGTATGGAAAAGTCTATTTATATATTTGCCCAAATCGTTAATACCTACCGTGTGCCAGAAAGTGTCTACTAAATTTTCCCTCGCATTCAAAGAAAAATAAGATCTTAACCTATATGGAAAATCTTTCAAACTAGTGGGAAATACAAATGCACATTACTACTCTTATATATTGTAAAATATAAACAATATGCACAGCAATAGAAGATGTTTTTAAAGTGCTCTGATGTATCTGGGAATAGAATGATAAATAATTCTGTCCTGAGGGATTAAAGACAGCTTTGGAGAGTAGGTGTCATTTGAACTGAAGCATGCAGTATGGGTAACATTTCAAATGTGAATGAGGAAGTTTGTATGTGCACATGTGTGTGTGTGGGAGGTGATGATCTCAGGGCACAGGTAGAGTCTCAGCAAACCACTGATAATTGATGTGCACAGTTTGCTTCTAGATGTGAGTCTGGAAAGGATGGGTTGGATCCATCATAGGTTACAAATGGCTCCAAATTCTTTGTTGCTCCTCCCATGAAGAGGTTGAGTGTATTTCCATAACCCTTGAATTTGAAATGACTTGCTTTGACGAACAGAATGCAGGGGAAATGATGTAGTATGAGTTTGGAGCGGGGCCTCCAGAGGTGTTGCAACCTCTGGTCTCACACTCTTAGAACACTGCCAACACATGAATAAATTGAGCTAGACTGCTTGAGAGGATATACAGAGAACTGAGGCACCCCAACTAAAGCCTACCAATGGCCAAATATGCAGTGAGGCCATTATAGATTATTCAGGCACTGACAAATTATCAGTAAGTGAGTAAGCCCAGGTGAGATCAGTGGAAGAACAGCTCAGTTGATCTCAGCTAAAATTACCAGTCCTCAGAATCATGAGCTGATAAATGGTTTTTTTTAAGCCAAAAAATTTTGGAAGTGATTTGTTGCCCAATAAAGGAAAACTGATATGGAACCACTTTATCAAGGGCCTATACTGTGATACTAAAGTGTCTGGATTTAATTCTTCAAAGAGTGGGGGGGCTCTGACATAATAGCAAAGAACAAATTAAATAGAAATTAAAAACACAGTACCATTTACATTAGCACCCCCTAAAATGAAATGCTTAGGTATAAACCTAACAAAATACATATAAGATCTATGTGAGGAAAACTACAAGACTCTGATGAATTAAATCAAGGAAGAACTAAGTAAATGAAGAGATCTTCCATGTTCATTGGTAGGTAGATTCAATATTGTCAAGATGTCAGTACTTCCCAACTCGATCTATAGATGCAATGCAATCCCAATCAAAATCCAAGCAAGTTATTTTGTGGATATTGACAAACTGATTCTAAAGTTTATATGGAGAGGAAAAAGACCCAGAATAGCCAACACAATATTGAAGATCAAAGTTGGAGGACTGACACTACTTGACTTCAAGACTTACCATAAAACCACAGTAACAAAGACAGTGTGGTATTGGTGAAAGAATAGACAACTATAAGAACAGACTGCCCAGAAATAGACCTATCTAAATATAGTCAACTGATCTGGGACAAAGGAGCAAAGACAATGCAATGGAGCAAAGACAATCTTTTCAACAAATGGTACTGAAACAACTGGACATCCATATGCAAAAAAATGAACCTAGACACAGACCTCACACCCTTGAAAACAATTAACTCAAAATGAGTCACAGACCTAGGGGTAGAATACAAAATTATAAATCTCTTAGAAGATAACATAGGAGACAACCTGATGACCTTGGATGTGGCAATGACATTTTAGATACATCACCAAAGACATGATCCATGAAAGAAATAATTGATAAGATGGACTTCATAAAAATTAAAAACTTCTACTCTGTGAAAGACAATGTCAAGAGAATGAGAAAATAAGCCACAGAGTGGGAGAAAATATTTGCAAAAGACATATTTGATAAAGGACTGTTGTCAAAAATATACAAAGATCTCTTAAAACTCAAGAACAAGAAAAGAAACAACCCAATTAAAAAATGGGCCAAAGACATCAGACATCTCACCAAAGAAGATATACAGATAGCAAATAAGCATATGAAAAGATGCCCCACATCACACATCAGGGAAATGTAAATTAAAATGACAACAAGATACCACTACAAACCTGTTAGAATGGTTAAAATGTGAAACATTGACAAAAGCAAAAGCTGGTTATTCATTTCTGGTGAGAATGAAAAATGGTACAGCCACTTTGGAAGACAGTTTGAGGGGTTCTTACAAAATTAAACATACTTTTACCGTACGATGCAGCAGTTGTGCTCCTTGGTATTTGAGTAGAGGAATTGAAAACTTGTGTCTACCCAAAACCTGTACATGGATGTTTATAGCAGCTTTATTCACAATTGCCAAAACTTGGAAGCAACCGAGGTGTCCTTCATTAGGTGAATGGATAAATTAACTGTGGTATATCCAGACAATGGGATATTATTCAGCACTAAAAAGAGACGAGATATAAAGCCATGAAAAGACACGGAAGAAGCTTAAATACATATTACTAAGTGAAAGAAGCCAATCTGAAAAGGTTAGGTACTGTATGATTCCACCTCTGTAACAGTCTGGAAAAGGCAAAACTATGGAGACAGCAAAACAAAAATCAGTGCTTGCCAGTGGTTGGGGGAGGGGGAGAGGAATAAATAAGTGGAGGACAGAGGATTTTGGGGCAGTGAAAATGCTCCGTATGATACCATAATGATAGATTTGTCCAAACCCATAGAATGTACAACACCAAGAGAAAATAATAATGTAAACCATGGACTTTGAGTGATGATGATGTGTATAATGTAGATTCATCAATTCTAACAAATGTGCCACTCTGGTGGAGGAATGTTGATAACGGGAAGGTTATGCATGTGTGGGGAAGGGACTATATGGGAAATCTCTGTACCTTCCTCTCGATTTTGCTGTGAACCTAAAACTGCTCTAAAAATAAAAAATCTTTAAAAAAAGTGCATAAAATGACTATGTAATACAATTGTGTCCAACTACCTGTAACCTGACACAGCAGAGCAGTTATTATCTAAAAGTTTTTATCTTGCTAGTTTGCTAAGCCGCCCTTTTCCTGGTCTTTTTTTGTTGGGGCTTGTTTTGTCTGCACCTGTTAGTGTTTCCAGGTTACTAGCTTCTTCAGTTCCAAGTCTGAGATATCCGAGGCAAAGAGAAAACCCAGGAACCTCACCACCATGTGGTTCTTTGGGTTCCAATGTCTGCAGCCAGCCTTCCTTTTTCTCTCAGCTCTTTGGAGCCTTCTTAAGAGTGTTTACATACAATGTCTAGGGTTTTTAGTTACACTTAGTGGGAGAAATGAGAAGTATTTCTACTCCATTGTTCCAAAATTGAAAAATCTCACAATTGACTTTTATTATCTTTTCTCATCTTCATTAGTACTCAATGTGTTTCCACTTGAGCTAACAAGAATAACACATCAGATCTCAAGTCGAGTGTTTACTGTATACCAAACAAAAGGTAAACCATGTGAAGGAGAATAAATGCTCAACTTCAGTGGCTGCTTCCAGCTCTTTTGACTGTTGATGACCCTCCAGATTTTATTTCCTGATTCTTTGGAAAAGGAGTTTTATATACCAGTTTTAGCCCAACTCATATTTAAATTTTGGTGTCCCCAAAGAGTCCCCTTTCTAGCTACCTCCCC